TGTATATTATATATATATATATAATGTGTATATTATATATATATATATATATATATGCGTACGCGCGCGCGTGTGTGCGGTTCAGCGATTATCATAAGAAAATTTTAATGTCTGATACAGGTCTCCCATTATTTTACAATCTGCGTAGTTACCACGCATGACGTCATCATGTTGGCTCGCCAATCGGAAAACCCATTCGGCTCTTTCCCGTCATTCATAGAAAAGAGTTTCTATTGAATGGTCCGAGGGTTCCCGATTGGTTGGCTCACGGGCTGGGTGCGCTTCAATCGCTATCTGTCGCACGCGCCAAACAAACCACAATTTGGAGATCGTGTAAGTTTAGAAAGTCTTAAACTTAAAGTATATGTTGTCAGTGTGTCACGTACCAAACTACTTGTTAACTAGAAGAAGTGGTCTTGCATTGGATGTATGTGTACCAGACTATTGTTGTAAATGTTTTGCCGATATTTATGGCATGATTATGAAAAAAACTCGTTGATAATTGTTGTCGTCAACATGATCGGATTGATCCATCGCTCTGTATTTGTTTACAAAAATTGAGTCAATACACACAGGGCCCTACAGGCTGTACTGTGTTACAGCCGAAAGCGACCCTCTAGGCTCTACCACGTTATCGGTCACTGTGCGTGTCAAGACATGTTATGATGATCATGACATGATACTGATCGTGGTCGTATTGGTTCAAGGATGGAGAGCATGGGCGTGTACTTAGGCGGGTTCAAGGATAGAGAACATGGGGCCCATTGAAACCTATGTCATTTTCGTAAATGTGGGGCTAGCCCCTTTAAAATCGACAGGGGTACTGGTGAGGGTGTTCTTTGTTCATTTCAACCGATAAACATGATGTGAGTTAACAGGAAGTGTCGAAAAAAATGCGTTGAAGCGGCCCATCTCTGTATATATGCAAGTCGCACATACTGACATAGCACACAGTGTATATAGCATAGTGGCGCCATCTATCGGCAGAAAAACGTCTTTTATTGGGACCCATGTTCTCTATCCTTGAGCCCTTAGGCGTGTGTTACCATAGTGACAGTCTAGATATAGAAGAAGAATCTTCTACTTCTGTAGACTATATGATCTATGGTGTTACTGTAGTGTTGGTCCCCCTACTGTTAGTGTTAGTGTTAGGCCCCCTACTGTTAGCGTTAAACTCAAACTGTTATCCTATCGAGAACTGCTTAATCAAGAGTATTGGCTTAAGCTTTTTTTCTTTTTTTTGGAGGGGGGTCTTTTTACAAATTCAGCATGGTGTCTACATGCTCGGGTGTGCTTGTGTGGAGATACCATTTATGTTGAATGTCCGTTTTGCTTGGTACATATAATCAGGAGTAGATAACAGCAGGAGTAGATACCCTGATAGCAATCTGACGTTGGGCCAACGTTGGCATTTGGTTGGCACGGTCACGGTTGGCAATATGAC